CTCTCTCGTTCGTGCCACTCGACGTTCATCTTCCTCCTCCGTCCTTCTCGACCAGCATCCCCCCTCCTCGCTATCTCTTCTCCCTTTCGCGACGTGTGCAACCGCTTCGAACGGCTCGAACGCCCCCGCGAGCCAACACGGGCCAGCTCCTTCTCCGTGTATCACCGTCTCCCCTCGATCTTCACGATCTTCACGAGTCGCCCGCGGGATCCAACTGCCTATAACCAGACTTCACGGACCGAAGAAAAGGGAACTTGGGATCCTTTACCAACGTTTCCCTCGATCTTCGCCTTCTTCCCTCCCTCCCTCCCTCCCTCCCTGTGCAGCCTCGACTCGATGTCCCACTGCACGTCATTACCGCTTACTTCCATCTCTATCGGGATGCTCGTTCTTGAATCGAGAGAATTTAAGCAAGTACGGTGCTTAAAAATCGATATCGTCGCCTATAAAATATATATTTCGTCGCGTTCGTTTCGATTTTGTTTCGATTTTTGTTCGTTATTATGGGAGGAAGGATTCATCGAAACGTGTCATCGTTTCCAATTTCCGCCGGATTTTTTTTTATAAAATGACCACGTAAAAAAAATCGAGCACGGGCCAACGAGCCCCGCTCGTATTTAATATCCTGCTCCCCGACGCGGTATCATTGCATTTTCCATGCCAATTGTTTTTAATAACTCTGCATTCAAATGAAGCGAAATTATCCTTTCCTCCCCTGTTCAGTCTTCTGTAAGGGAGCGGAAAAAAAAACGGTTTCGAATCAATGGCAATTTATTCGAATAGCGGATGTATTTTGTATCCGTATAAAATGGAAAAAAGAGGGAAAAAAGGGAAGAAAAATTAGCGAATAATAAATAATTCGTAACTCGTCGCGCTCACTCTCGCTTTCTCGTCGGGACAAATCGCGATCGTTCTATCACCGTGCAACGATCCGGAAATAAACGACAAGCCAATTAATCACGCCAGTACAGTTATCGATTCCACCCGCACGATCCTTCCATATACCCGATATCGTGGCCACGATCGCGATATCGAATCAGTGAACCGGATCATCTGAATCTGGCCATTCGATGGAAATACTACGTCCGTCCATGGGATCGTCCAAAAATCGTCAGGATCTAATCGTCCGAGTTGCACGTCCGATAACGGTGCTACGAGCACCCGAGGCGGGCGTAATTACGAAACGCCTGGTTTCGACGGAGTCGAAGCCAAGGGGGTGAAAGTTCGCGGCATAACGCGACGGTTTAACAAATGATAAAAGTTTGCTTTTGATTATTCGATCGACTCGTTCCCTTACTTTTAACGTGTGTAGGTATGTGGAGTAAATATGTAGGGTGTGTTCGGCGGGAAAACGAAAAAATTCACGACGGCCGGCCGGGAGTAAATCTTATTTCCTCGCGTAGGGATACTAGGCGATAAATACGAGGCGCGCTCAAGCGGCGGAGTTTAAAAGCTCGGCGTGGCCCGCTGGTGCCTGTTAATGGAGTGGTTATGGGAGAATTATTAGACGAGTGTGTGAGATTAATTGCGGTTAAGCCTCCTCGTTAAACTCACCGAACGGATTGAATTATAGCCGTCGGTGACGATAAAATAAACCCGCGTTATTACACTGTAATTTTCTTCGCCCGTGGATAGGCCGTTCCCTTTGTCGAAATACTTTCTTCTATTCTTCGTTCCACGATTTTATGTACGCGTCGTATTTTATTACGTATTAAACGTAGAAATCAATTGGACGATTTCTACGTTTTACATTGCTTGAGAGATTTAACATTTAAACGTTTATTTAACGTTCCATTCGGTGAGAGAATATTGGTTAACATATCTATGGTTTATATTTTATCTTTTGAACAAATTTAGAAAATCCTATGTTAAACAGTGTTAAATAAACTTCAAAATAATATATTTTGATATGCATTCTGACTGATATTTAACTGACGAATGGATACTACTGAATTCCTCTGATCAGATTATGGATATTGCTACCAGCATCAACCGAATAAAACCCATGAATAATAAATTTGAAAAGGAAAGTTTCAGTCACGATTATTCTATTCTTACACGACTTGTTCAGCTTTTATTAAATCAACATCTACACAAATCTTTTCTTTATAAATCAGACATATCTAAAAAAAAAATACAACCAAATGGAAAGTATTCCAAAAAATAAAAATTGTACGATAAATAATCCTTGTGAATAATTTATCCATTTCATATCATTGATCTCGTCTTAATAAAAACAAGAAAACCACGAGTTGAAAAGCGAATGAGAAGTATCGAGGAGAGAAAGACGAGATACCCGACGACTTTCAAACTTACTGACCTCGAACGAACTTCTGCCTTTCTCCGCCAACTTTAACCCTTCAAACTGACGTTCGTCCCAAGTTCAAATATCGCGGATGATCATTGGAAACTCGATCGAATCGCATTCGCCATCGATATCGAACGATAGGGAACAAGAATTATCGAAATTCACGAGGTTCGTTAATCTCGTTTAAATCCTCGCGTGCGAATAACAATGCACGGATGCCGGGATACTGTTACGCGATTCCAATCGCGTTTATATTCGTTTTATAATGGCCGATAAATTATCGTTGATGCGACAAGCGAGTGAAAAAAAAAAAATATCGAAACACGAAGATTACACTGTCCATCCTGCCCATCAATAATCGTGTGATTATACGAATTGCTTTCGTTCATGCATGAATTAGGTTTGGATTAGAATTTTTATAACGATTCCACGTGATCTGCCTATCGTGGCAATTTTTCATGCAATCTTGGAAGAAGAGGAAGCGAGATCTACCACTCGATTTCTTGACGTGTGTGTGTGTGTGTGTGTGCGTATAGCAAGATGATTCTCGTCTAATATAATAGCGTGATCACGATCGTTCTGACAAGTTGTTATCTTTGGCTGAACGGTGGCGTGTCTGAAACTTATACGTGGCTTCCACTAATCCAACTCCTTAAGTAGCATGACCCTCGCGCGAGTAAATCGAGTAATATTTAGCTTCCACGTATTACGAAAAGAGTAATCATCATATTTCTGAAACATCAGTCAATTGCTGTGAAAAGGATCCCAAATTAAAAGTCGTAAACTCCACTTGCACTATCCGAACGAATTTAATCGTTCGTTGTGTTTGAAATTATTATACACATTCTCGAAGAATTAAAATAAATTTGTGATAGTACTAGAAAGAATATCATTGTTCTCGCATCGATAAATTGCGAATATTCGAGTATTTATGGAAAATTTAAATCTTCACGCACGTATCAACAAAATATCCAAAAAAAATTTTTAAAAAGACGAGATTTTCCGCAACAAACATCTGCAATTTGATAACAATCAATTTTATAAAACAATTCATCTAATATTTACCAGCAAAAAGTCAATATTTTATTTCCATCAAGAGGATATATAACCTAAGATTTTCAAACAAATATACATATATATACGATATTCACAACCGGTGTCCCCGCTTTCTGCCAAGAATTCCACGATTTCCATCGTGGAACCAGGGATGAGGGTTTCGTGAGGACGCGCGCGGAGAAAGAGCGAGGCCCAAGGCGGTTAATAAACGTTATTGGCGGGGCCCGGTCGCGCTAGGTGGGAGTTAAGGCCCAGAGCACATCCCACGGCCATCTATGGGAGCCGGGCTGCCTTTTCTCAGGGAGCATTCGGTTACCTTACGTAAGCGGACGAAGGCTAGACGAGGAGGAGATAGGACGATTGAACGAGGACAACTCTCG